CAAAGGAATGGCTGTTATTTAGCTTGGAAAAGAGAATTGTAAGAGGTGGCTTAACGATGATGTGTATGAAACATTTGTCTAGAGAAAGCAGTTTCTACCTGAGCTCTCACTTCACCTCATTTTGGATTCCTTTAGCAAAAACCTTTATTGTTTCACTGTCTCCCGGTACCATAAAACACACACACACACACACACACACACACATCCCTCATGAGAGGCTCACTGGTAGACTAAAATATGGACCATTTGCCTCAAATGAATTCTCTTACACTTGGGCAATTTATCTTTTCTATAACAAAATGTGATTTAAAACTTTTCTGTAAAGCTTACCTAGACAAAGCTTTGTCAACCAATTTTTCTCCAGTACTCCCCATGTGTAAATCTCATGTATGGATCTCTCCATGTTTTCCTCATGGGCCTCTTAAATAGACTACTTATTTTTTATATAGTATGGATAGTATATATAATAACGATGTGTATGTAGATAGTACATAGTGTTATTATTTGTGTATTAAATTCTTCAAGGAATTGCTCCTCTGCACTGTGCTTCCTTCAGTGTTGCTTTGAACTTACCACTTCAGAAAGCTTCCCTGTCTACTCTTTACCTCCCATAGCATCTTTCTTAGAACTTAGCTCAGGTGTAATTTTACGTATATTACTGGGATCTGTTAGTCAAGTGATTTGAGCAGACAGTTCAGGCATATATACTACTTGACTAACAGTTGGGTTAGGTGGCAAACAAACGAGTTTCTGTATTAGCTATACATGAAAGACTGAGATTTATGAATATTTTTGGAATTTAATTCCAAAATTAAATTGTGGAGCTAGAAAGAGTGCCAATGGCAAGAAGAATCCACAGTGGACATTAAAAATATACACTTGATTTTGGTTACTTAGTTACCCTGGCTGTGTACTGAAGGGTATCTGTGGGAATTTTGGAAAACAGAAGAAAATTATGTAATAGAATAAACTTTGAATCACATTTTTACATTTCAAAAAGAAGAGTGACATCCAACATGATTTCTCTGGATTTTATTCTCATTTTTAGAGTTTAAAATACTTAAAGGAAATTGATCACTTTATTTAAGACGATCTGTATATTGAGATTGGCAGGATAATTTATGGTCTGATTAGAATTGGGCTCAGAAGAGATTGTGAGCCTTGCACATTGGATGATTTTTATTTCCTTAATTTCCATTTCAGTGCTATACATCTTTCCTGGAGCATTGTAACTGTGAATCATGGAGGAAAATTAAATTGATTCTGTATTCTCCAACTCTGCAATTTGGCAGTGAGAATATTTTTTTCCTAAAAAATGACTCATTTACAAAGAGACGTTCTGTGAACATGGAAAAGACTTTACTGTCAGAAGTCTTGCACATGGGGCAGGGTGGATATTAGATCTGCTAATAATTGCAAAATGGCAAAATTAATGTCAGACAGTATTGATCAAAGATCATGTGAAAATGGTACTCCCACTGGAAAACACAGAAGCTTGTGTATTAAGAAAAATAAAAACTCCATAAGCTCTATGGAAAGCTTATCATTTTTCCTGTTTCAGGGCATTTTTTCTTGTTTAAGTGTACCCTGCTATGAGTCAACCAGTGTTTAGTTTTTGCACCTCTTGGAAATTGTTCTGTGTTGTAATATTCCTCCCTATTAACCTTTATTTTCCTGATTTTTAGTCCAAAATTTATTTTTCTGAATTTCATCCAATTTCTTCTGGTGATTTTCCCTGGGATCCCCCAGCTTGGGTGTGGGTTGATTTTTCTTGCTAATCATGCTTCCTCTAGCTTCTAAAATAATCTTAGAATTTCTTTATACAACTAAGTTTTCAAGAATGCATCTCATTGTAAGTTAAAAACAAAACATATCGACCTGGTTCTCATATTGTGGGAAGCATTTATTATTTCTGCATTGCAGTTCTTCCAAAGATAAAACAAACATGGCCTTTGTAAAACACACTGAAGCCTTGTTCTCATGTTCACCATCAGATCGATATGAATGTTGAAAAAGGGTTAAATCAAAATGACGACATGATGACAACTGGATCTGCCATTCCTTGTCTACTAATGGTGCCCATTAAGCCTACAGAATAACATTTTGCAGAAGTGTTCTCATGATTTTGTACAAAAGTCATTGAATCTGAAGAAGAAAAAAAGAAACTCACATCTGAGTTCCTAGCGTTTGCCAGGCATTTTTACCTGCGACTCCATTTGATTTTTTTCAGAAGTTGAAGTGGGCACTGTTATCCTGGTTTATGGTAAGAAACTGAGGCTTAGCTAGGCAATGTCACTTAGCCAGAATTCCGTAGAAAGTAAAGGGAGGAGCAAAAATTCAGCTCAAGGTCTTCCAATTTTAAAATTCATTGTCTTTCCACTTTATTGAGTTGCCTCCCAGGATTTGGGGATTTGATCACTCTGCCTGAGGTCACATTATGAGTCAGAGGTGAGCTGGGAACACAGTCTGGGGCATCTCCACGTTGCTTTAATCCATTGAAATGTGGTGTGTCCTCTCTAACAAATGGATCATATTAACTTCTTCGAGGAAGAGAATAACTTTTGATTTTCTACAAAAGATTCGTTTTGTGAAAAAATTAATAAAGCAGATATATTTAGCTTAACTTTTGAAAAATTGTGAAAAAGAACAATTCATTACAGTGAACTTTGCAGATTACTGGTCATTTTGGTAAATAGCCAATCTCCATGGTAACTTTCTTTTGAGGAATTATATGAACATTCCTTTTCTTTGGGCACTCCATATTCTAAACAATTTAAAAGTAGCCTTGCAAAATGGGCTTTAAAAAAATCTCATTAATTATTCTAGAATCATAAGATCTGATCTACCATGAAGCATTTTCTGATAGAGGGTATTCCCACTGGCTCTTTCAACTTACTAGCTATGTATCTTTGGGCACGTTACTTAATCTTCTGTGTCTTGGTTTCCTCATCTGAAAATAGGGATAATGTAGACCCTACATTAAAGGGTGGTTGTGAGGGTTAAGTGAATTACTATATGTGAAGTACTTAGTCTGGAATGTGACAAATACTGTACAAATCATTGCTATTATTGTTTCTCCCAATTACAACAGCCTGTTGTGTATCATGTCGGACTACCCAGAGAGTGCATACAGGGTTTTGAAGGACTTGGAGGCACCCTAAGTGGCGGAAGTTATAAGTTAATCTAACTCCATTTGGGCATATGCTAGCAGTGACAGAGTTGAAATTTAATTCCAGACCTATCTGATTGCAAAATGGCTGAAGGAAAGAGATTCAGTGGTAACTGGAGTGGTAGAGAAAAAAGGCTCAGCAAACTGTGTAGATTGACTTTCTTCTTTCTTCCGACTGATCTTGAGAACAGGAAGCACAGGGCATTACTAAAAGCTTCAGTTTGCTCCTGGTGGCAGCACGGACATCACCTGGTTCCTTGGGGAAAGAGATGTTGCACACTTAGTGCAGTGTGGATGACTTGAAGGTAAATTTGTCCGAAGTGTGGTTAACAAAAAATTGCCGAATGCTCTGTACTGGAAATATAGAAATGAATTGGACCGGGTTTCTCATATCAAGGGGCACATAATCCCGGGACACAGAGACAGTGGCTGCCCAGAGACATATGTTGGGTTTGAATACTGCAGATTGTTTTGTTTGGAGTATGGAGAGATTTGTTTTGAGACTCATTCACTGACGAAGTAAAATGTTAAACGTTTGGGCACGGACTCAGGAGAAGAATTTGTGTGAGAAATACTAGAGAAAGTGTAGTGATACACTCTGTGAAGAACTGAATGGGGTATGAAGGAAAGGATCATGGATGGCGCTAGAAATTATATAGTCTATCATTTGGAGAGTAACTGGGAACATTTTACAGAATAAGAAATACAAGTGCATGTAAAAGGAGAAAAACAATTTAGGAGTGCTGTGCTGTTACTGGTATTATTAGAGCTACAAAGAATAGTAAAAGGAATATTTAAAAATGGGAGTGGGAAAGCAGGGAGTCGTGCTGTCTCTAAAATGACAGCTAGAAATGTGCTGACAAGTGAGTGGGTGAATACAAAAACCAGCCATAAATAGCCACATGGAAATGAAGCTTTTGTATTTAACAATGAAGATGTAATTGGAAACACTAATGAGATCTGTTTTAATATGGCTGACAACAGAAAGCCATATCCAAACAGTAAGATCTGAGAGAGATGGAATCTAAATAAGAGAGAGAAATGTATTTGCAGGTGCCAGGTGGACCAAGTCAACTTGACATTGACCCAGAGAAACCTAGACAAATATTCTGGGCCTGCAAGTTTGTTTTGGAGTTTAATTGCCATATGCTGAGTGAAGAATGAATAGTTTGCCTTGCCTGAAGAAGTTGTGCTGTAGTACCAAAGGTCCACTGTCTGGGGGGACATGTAAGAAGCAGTGGAGTTGAAAGGGGCCCTCGCCTCGGCAGACAGCTCAGCCTTGGGAGGTGGGGGAGACATGTCACAGCCATGCTTATGGGGTTAACAGCAGCAGCTTTCTAAAAATGAGCAATCCAAAAGGCTGTTACAGACTGACCCTGAAGAATAACATTTATCAAGTTCTAATTTATTCCGGAGATCAACTCAAATGGCCATTAATTTGGTAGTTTAAAAATGTATTACATTCGTGTAATCCTCCAACCTTACATGTTTTTCTCTTGAATATGTTGAATATGTTTCTATGTTGAATATGTGCAAAACATTTTTTTTAGGAGCTTTGAACATTGGCTCTGTATTTGCATCCCAGAGCCTTCCATGTCATTGAAACATATCTGGGTATTTTTTATTAATCTAGAGATATTTAAGACCTTTTCCCTAAAGACAGAGGATATTAATTCCACATTCAGCATTTGAAATTTGTTATTTTTGTTTCTGAAACCGTCACCCAGTGAGGTCTTAAGTGTAAGACACTCAAGAAAAGAGTGAATCCTGGAATGGGGGACTGCTCTTTGTATGTTGAAATACTAATTATTTTGTGTTTACTTTTCTTTAGGGATATCAGGGAATTGCAGGATCACCAGGTGTCCCAGGAGCCCCAGGAGTACAAGTATGTGATTCATAGGTACACATTGAAGAATTAAACATTTCCAGTGAACCAAAAAACATAATTAACAGAATTTATTCTGTGATTGGTTTAGGGAGTCCCAGGACTACCAGGTTACAAAGGAGAACCAGGGAGAGATGGTGAAAAGGTAAATGCATACAAACAAAAATGTGTCCAGTTGCTTTGGTTCATTCAAGAACGCCAAAGGTGTTACCTATGGTGACTCCCATTCAGTAGTGTTCACCTTGGGGAATCCCAAGATTTGTGGGCTTGGAAATTGGTCAGTGGTCACTGGCTAGTAAAGCCCACAGAAGGGCTTTTATCACTAGATGAAATTGGTTGTCACTGGATGACCACCATGACATGGAGCAGATAATTGACATTGCCATGATGCTGTTTTTTTCTCCCCGTGGTTAAGCTCTGAGGGGGGTTACCTTCTTAGAGAGGCGAGAGGTGTGTGGATGGAATGTGTTAGGCACAGGTAGCCCCATACCGTCATGTCCTTCTCCGTAATAGATGCCTATCTGGCAGGTGGTCTATTGGCTTAGTCTTACTGGACTTCTTCCTTAGGGCTTCAGTGGGTACATTTGTCTGCCGACTCTCCTTTTTTACAGCTCTGAGATTTGGCAAGCTTCCTTTTGAAGTACATGTTCTTTAAGTATGTTCAATATGTCAGTACCTCCCCATGGATCTGGATCGGTTGAGGCCTACTGGCCCTGGTAGCTGGTCCACGTCCAAGATGCCCATTTGTGTTTGTTCAGATCCCATATTGATTTGTTAGCTTAAAGCACAATTGTATTTCTAAGGTCTGTGAAGGCATTCTGGTGTTTGCTCCTGATAAAAACCTGTACTAATTTTCTAACTACAATCCTTGCAAAATATTACCTTTTTAAAATAGTGTGCACAGCATTCACATCTGAGAAATTCTGATCCTAACCTGTATCCATTTTATGCTTTTATGGTTGCCCATGTTGGTTGCAGAAAATTGTAGCTAGTAAAGTACCATCTCTGGATGGATGGATCTCTGGCAGATCTAATGATGCATCTGTCACTTTCAAGCTATTTGATCTTGGGCATGTTACTTAATGTCTTTGAGTCTTATATTTTTCATTGACACAATGGTGTTTCCTTCATAGGTTTCTTGTGAAGATTGAATGAGATAATGTGTGAAAAATATTTAGTATGGTCCCTGGTACAGGGTGTTTCTTAAATGGTGGTTGTTTTGTTCACGTACCATGGCTGCAGTTGGGATGTAGCATGGGGTGGGCTGCCATATATCATGGGCACAACATGGGTTGAAGCAGCCACTGAATTGGAAATTTAGTGATCTTTGTAGTAAAAGAAAAGCAGAAAAGATGACTCGGTCAGGGCAGCTTTATAATGTGGGAAGAATTAAAGGACATAAAGCAACTGCCGCCATCGATATAATTCCTGCAGAATAGCATAAACTCCTCTTGCCTACTGTGTGACCTTTATGAGTCTTTTTAGCCATGGAGATATCTGCCTATTTTAAATGATGGGGATACATCTTGAGAGGGGATAGGGAGCATGCCGCACCTGCAGGAATGGCAGACGTCTTATATTTTCATGCTGTGGGGATGTTGAGAGAGATTGCCTGACCTCTGCCAGGTGAACTGGGGATTTCACTGGGAGCATGAGGGTATCTGTTCTGAGGAGACCATGTGCTAGACACCTCACCTACATTCTAGTCTACAGGATCACTGCTCTTTCCTTTCTTTCCTTTCTTCCCTTTCTTTCTCTTTCAAAGATTTTACTGGAGAGAGAGAGGAGAGCATGAGCATGGGGAAGAGGCAGAGGGAGAAGCAGGCTCCCCACTGAGCAGGGAGCGCAATGCGGGACTTGATCCCAGGACCCTGGGATCATGACCTGAGCCGAAGGCAGCCGCTTAACCAACGGAGCCACCCAGGCGCCCCGGATCACTGCTGTTTCTGTAACATTCTGACAGCCTGATTTGGGGATGACAGGGATTTATTAAAAGTATGCATATATGAATGAATGTATCTATCAATGGATTAATGAATAAATTTATCTATTTTTCCCTTTTACTTGGGTTTTAGAGACCAGATATAAAAAGGAAGGTTTTTATTCCTCGTAAAGTGTCTGTTTGAAAATAAAGGAATAACAACAATTCGATTAATCACAGCTTTAAGTGCACTGTTGTTTGGGGTCATTGTACTCTCTCCAAAATAGAAGTGCATGAATTTTACAAAGTCATACATTTTGTTGAATAAAATAAGATGTATGTTTATGTGAAGTTCTCTGTTTTCAGTCCAGTAATAGTTACACTCAGAGTTGCTTGTTTTCTGAAATTTGTTGTTGGGGCATAAAGTCTGACCTGACACAGTCACTGTGAGCCCGAAACCACCATGTGCTGTGCCATCTACATTTCCTCCTCACATTCTGTGTGGCTTTAGAGCGTTCCTTATCTAGAGTTGCAATAATTGAATAAGTTACAGACGTTTCCTTGATTCTTCCTCTAGAATATAGTTCCTTAATTTTCAGAAATGGGAAGGTTGAAAAATAGACCCCTGAGGTGACTTCGACTTGGAGAGGCACAGGACATTTTCCCAGGCATCACACAGTGGCTTCTTGGAGATTGTTCCATACAACGCTGTCCTCCATTAGGATCTTTTCCCAGAATCATTTCCATTTTGTGGATTTCTTCTGAAAACTCCCATTGTAGGAGTTTCCACTTAAGATAATTAAAACTACATGCACTTTTTTGCTGACTTCAACATTTGTTCCTACATATCAGACCAGAGAATGTGTATAGATTTTGCAGGATTTTTTTCTTTTTCCCTCCTGAATTTACAAAATTAAAAAGGAGCACTTATTCACCAAATGGTCTTCAGTTGGTAACTCATTTTATAATATGCTTTAAAGCTATTTGGAATTCAAGAAAAAGTACTTCAAAACATTTCTTCAACTTTAAGGAAACCCATATATTTAAATCATTGGGAGAAATATATTTTGTTAAAACTTACATTAGGCTGAGTTGATTAACTGACATGTATTTATGGGTTTTTGAGTTGATTATGAAACTTTTTTTATAGCAAATTCAATTCCGAACACATGGGAGGTAGTAACTACATTTTTTAGACTTAGTACAAATTCATCACTTGGTTTTTCTGGGGTTAAGAAATAAAATATGCTAATTATATCCAAGGCCTCATTATGGAGCAAATTATACATTTTGTTTAATTTCCTCATTAGATCAATTAACATTTAAATTGTCCCTTCAAGACCTCAGTTTCCCATTGTCCTTAACATTCATACAAGAGTATGATGTGATGAATGAGGCTTCTTCACTTAAGTAAATCCCTTACTTTCATTATTGCATTTCTAAAGTCAAAAGATTAAGTGGTATTACAGTGATTTATATCGTCGGTTATAATTAGGGAACTCCAGTATACATGTTGAGAGAACAGTAATAAAGGACCAAGCTAAAAGGGTTATTAGGGAATATGCTAAAACTTAGGATGTTAGTAGTTTTACTTCTGTAATGTCTGAAGACCAAAAAAATTACCAAAAATTAAAGCCAAGAATGATATGGGAGGGAGAAATAGAATTGGCTTAGTAAAGTGACCACTTTTATTTTCTTTCTCAAAAAGGGAGGGTAATCCAGCTGTGTAGCTTCCTCATAACACCACAGTCCAAAGGCCCAAACACTGGTGTGTGTTTGTGTGGCTGGGCTTGGAGGGGGACAAGAAAGGGAGGCTTAATGAAGTTACAGGTTATTGGCTGGGCTTTGAATTCACTGTTTACTTTATCTTCTCTGTCCATTCTCTAAATGTCAGATTGTTCCAGGGCTCAGTCCTGTGCCCTTCTTTTTCTTCCTTAACAGAGTCTGTTTATTACATCATTAAATATAAACTTACATGCATATAAATTTATGTGTTAATTATATAAGTATACATATTGGTGATAAGCCTATTAATATACTGAGGGGCGCCTGGGTGGCTCAGTTGGTTGAGCATTGGGCTCTTGGTTTCGGCTCAGGTCATGATCTCAGGGTTGCGAGATAGAGCCCCGCCTCTAGCCCCTTGTTGGCTTGGCTTCCCCTCAGCACAGAGTCTCCTTGGGATCCTTTCCCCCAGTCTCTCCTTCCACTTGCGCTGGCTCGCACATGTGCACGCACATGCTCTCTCTCTCTCATAAATAGAAAAAATACATCTTTAAAAATATTAATATATTGATATAACCAATGTTGTAGTTAATAAAAATATTAAATACATACACACGCATATATACGTTGTTTTCTGAGGAGATATTTTGCTTCATCTGAATCTGAAGAAACTGTGGAATTGTTGTTAAAAGCAGGAATTTTCAGAACTTTTTCTACTTTTTATGGAAGGGGTGGCACCACATTTTCCTTCTTTCCTATATCCTTTTCTCAGAGGCTTTTCTTCCAAAGCAGCACTAATTGTGCCTTCCCTAAATAGTCGCTGAAGTCAGGTTTTGTTAAGTGTCCCTTCTGTACGTGGGGTGCTAACCTGTGTGTGCTCAGGTGTTGATTACTTCCATGAATACGTTTATAATGTCTTGATCATTCTCTGATCTTTCAACTTCTTTTCTTTTAAGGCTCTGTAATGGATTCAGTATCTCAGTTTATTGAAAAGAATCATTAATTCCATGTCCTGCCTCATTTGTTGGCTGCGATGCCATTTTCTGTCCTGTTTTCTTTTTCTCTACTGGCATCACTGGGAAACTTAAAACTTTCACTGAATTTTTATAGAGTGCTTCATATTTTGTTGGTTCTAAACTCCTATTTCTCATCCTTATTTTGGGTATACTCTGTCTATGGTCACTAAGAAGCTATGGGAGTGACCCTGTTGTGGAAGCTCAGCAATCTACCTTTTTTCCTAGGCCTGACTAGTTCAGCGATGATCTCCAAACCCAAGGGGATTGCCCATGATTGTGTTAAAGACAGGGAACATTTTAGTAGATTTAAACAATTCCCAATAAATCATTGCCTGAGCCTCAAAAGACTTAACATTTGTTTCTATGTGAGAGGAGAAAGAACCACCAAGATGTGTTAGGTGAATTTAAATTGTAGAATCTTTGTAGTAAAAGACTTTTAGGTATGTAGTTCCATATTTATGTATGAATTATATGCGTATGCTACTG